AATGCTCCTTGGTGATCAACTTGTTGAATTATACTGTTTCTAGAAAGAATGATATCATTGGTGAAGAAGCAGAATAATTGTTGCAGGCTCAGTAGATTTCAATTGTTTTTTGTCTTTAGGTGCACTGCCGATTCTCCATATGCTTAGAACCCACCATTCCCCATATGTTACCTTTCAAAGAATCAAGTTCAGTATCGAGCTGATATAGGTTTTGTCTCCTTTAAGATCAAGCACAGAATCCTTCTTCTGTTGCAGCTATAGCCGTCTCTGCCGCTTTTATGTCCGATATAGTTTATTTATCCCCAGTTGTGGCATGTGTGTGAGAAGCTGGATAAACTAGTGATCTCGATTGATAAACCAGTTAACTCAGTACTTATGCGTCATGCAGTTTGCTATATGTGTTGTATACTTATAGTATCTATTCTAGAGATTTTGTCCTAGGATGATCACTTGATGTTTTCTGGTCTATTGGACATGGCAAATAATTTGTCATGGATATGTTGGGTTGTGTTTCATGTGAAAATAAGGTATTTTAATGGAATGTTAATTATTCGATGTAAATGAACTGGCGAAATTGTTACTTTTTGTGCTGTTCTATGAAGTTCCATGCATGCATTATTTCTATACTATTCATCCTAATGCATGTAAACCATGTTACCTACTTTTACCTGTAGGTAATTGATTTCCACCAAACTCTTGAGGTGAATGGGATTCGATTTTGGTGTTATACTGCTGGCCATGTTCTTGGTGCTGCAATGTTCATGGTCGATATTGCTGGGGTACGAGTCCTTTACACAGGTGATTATTCCCGTGAAGAAGATAGGCATCTCCGAGCTGCAGAGATTCCTCAGTTCTCACCTGATATCTGCATAATTGAGTCCACTTATGGAGTGCAGCTTCATCAACCTCGTCATATTCGGGAGAAACGCTTCACTGATGTCATCCATTCTACTATTTCTCAAGGAGGTAGAGTCCTTATCCCTGCATTTGCTCTTGGTCGTGCTCAAGAACTTCTGTTGATCCTTGACGAGTACTGGTCCAACCACCCTGAGCTCCATAATATTCCTATATACTATGCTTCCCCTCTTGCAAAGAAGTGTATGGCTGTTTATCAAACATATATCAATTCCATGAATGAGAGGATCCGTAGCCAATTTGCATCATCAAATCCTTTTGACTTCAAGCATATTTCACCGCTAAAGAGTATTGAGAATTTTAATGATGTCGGTCCATCAGTCGTTATGGCTAGTCCCAGCGGGCTTCAAAGTGGGTTATCGCGTCAACTATTTGACATGTGGTGCTCTGACAAGAAAAATGCTTGTGTTATTCCTGGATACGTCGTGGAAGGGACACTGGCAAAGACCATCATCAACGAACCAAAGGAAGTCACTCTGATGAATGGTCTCACTGCTCCTCTTAACATGCAAGTTCATTATATTTCGTTCTCTGCCCATGCTGATTTTGCTCAGACGAGCGCGTTTTTGGATGAGGTAATGCCTCCAAACATTGTTCTTGTTCATGGAGAAGCAAACGAGATGGGAAGGCTCAAACAGAAGCTTGTAACTCAGTTTGCTGATCGCAACACCAAAATCATCACGCCAAAGAATTGTCAATCAGTTGAAATGTACTTCAATTCAGAGAAAATGGCAAAAACTATTGGGAGACTGGCTGAGAAGACCCCAGAAGTGGGTGAGACCGTTAGTGGCCTTCTGGTAAAGAAAGGCTTCACTTATCAAATAATGGCACCTGAAGATCTTCACGTTTTCTCTCAGTTGTCCACAGCAAATATTAATCAGAGGATCACAATTCCCTTCACAGGTGCGTTTGGTGTGATAAGCCACCGGCTGAAACAGATATATGAGAGTGTGGAATCTTCACAAGATGAGGAATCTGGTATTCCCATGTTACGTCTGCATGATCGAGTAACAGTGAAGCAGGAATCTGATAAACATATTTCACTGCACTGGAATTCGGATCCTATAAGTGACATGGTTTCAGATTCCGTTGTTGCTCTTGTCTTGAACATAAGCCGTGAATTTCCCAAGGTTGTGGTTGAAACAGAGGCTATGAAAACTGAAGAAGAAAGTGAGAAAAAGGTAGAGAAGATCATTCATGCACTTCTAGTTTCTCTCTTTGGGGATGTGAAATTTGGTGAGAATGGAAAGCTGGTGATAAATGTGGATGGGAATGTAGCGCATCTGGACAAGCAGAGTGGGGATGTGGAGAGTGAAGATGAAGGCCTTAAGGAAAGAGTGAGGACTGCATTTCAGCGAATCCTGAGTGCTGTAAAACCAATACCCCTGTCAGCTTCTTAGGTAGCTTTCGTGTTTCATGTCATTTTCTAACTGTAGATTGTACCATCAACCTCATACTGCGAATATCCTCAACTCACAATCTAAGTTCAGCTCAAGTTTTAAGCATCTAATGGTGGATCTCAGCTCTCAGAACAAGTATTGACAGTGGCATTTGGATTACTTAGTTTTTGTACTTTCACGTATACTATTTTGGTGTTTGAAGGCTGGCAAGGCTTGATTGTCACCTTGCGGAAAAAACTTATCATTTCATTTCCTAAATATGATTTTGCTAGTTAATGTGAGCTGGCTTGTAAAGAACCAGACAGAGTCTGTGCTACCTTAGAAGATGTATCCATGTGGTAACGCTGTAGCTTTGTGATGTCTAGTTTTCGTTCACTTGGGAAGTGCCAAAACACGGACTTCGGCATTGTTACTCATGTGACATGTTCATGGGGAATTGATAAGTGGTTAAGTAAAAAGTTTGTGCTTGGATCATGCTTAGTTAAGATGTCAAGTAGGGCTATATGTTTCTTTTTGTCTGAGTTTGGGTTTGTCTCACTGATCTATACCCTTTTGATTACATTCCTCAGTTAAACCAAACAATGGTGTATCATTATGTCCCAAATCCTTAGCACATTTTACAGAGTTTGGACAAAATCTTTTAAGTATTTTATGGTCGAAATCAATGTGCAGTCCTCGGCTTTTTGTTGAATATTGGAAATAACCTGTCGCAATCCTTTTCGAAATCGATCTATTTGTTGAATGGATAGTCATACCACCAGACCATCTTTTGAATATCTGGCAGAATATATTCATCATATCACTGATAGGAACTCAGAGTTGAACTTCAATGAACTCCTTCAGTCTCATAGATGGATCTCTCTCTTTGATGATGTCCCAACCTCTTAATGAAGTAAATTTATGACGTCAAATTCCCCTTTCAAAGAGGATCCAAATCTCATCACCATATTGCCATCGCTTGCCCTTGTAGGCTTTCTTTTAGAAGGGTAGTGATTGTAGTTTGAACCTTGATTTCATTTCTGATGGGGGAAAACCATTGTTCAGAGGAAACACTATGATTATCTTACATTTATATCTCTAATAGAAATCAGGTTGTGATTGTTATTCTTAAGAGTTGACCCCAAAGTTTCATGAATTAGGCCTTTAAAAATAATCACCAACTTGTTCTAATGTTGATGATAAAACACAACGATTAATGGGTAAGGTTTTTTTTCTCACTATGTTCTCCAATAGTAATCAATGGTGGCAGGGCGGGTTTGGGACCGCTTGAAATCCAAACTCGACAAGTACCGAATGCAAATTTGATATCAAGTCCAAGGGACAACTTTTTGAATGAAGTTCTAAGGACATCCTAGTGAAGTACATGAGAACCTTAAACACACATAAACTGGCACGATTGGAGATTAGATTTTGCTAGTTACTTAACCCTCCTTTTGTGCAGGCATGTCTATTTGCATACTTCTGAATAGTCAGTAAGCCAATAATATGAGATTTTGATGCAAGAGAAGAGATGAGGCTGATCTTATGACTATATATGTGGTTTACTAAAAGAATATCATGCTTTATGGAGGCTTAAAGATTAATATGGCGAAAAAGACATTACAAAATAATATTTCCTAAGCACATAAAACATGAATCGAAAAAAAAAAAAAGATTTTTAGCGTACAGTGATTGAAGCAACATTTGAAATAAGTCTATTTGAAAACTAGAAACTAAAATTAGATAAAGTACAAATGCTCTATGTTTAAATAAGCTGTAATTTAATCTTAAACATTTTATTGTAAGTGTGAGATAGAAATCAATTTTTTTGTAATATTAAAGTAACAAGAGTTATTTATTCGGTTTAATTTCCTCATAGTTAAAAGAGATATATTATTAAATTGTGTTCTAAATTAGCTATAATTTTGAAATTCGTACATTTTTCAAACTAAGTGAATTTATTAGTTCACTGTAATTTTTTAATAAATCAAATTACTTGAATAAAGTGAATTATGCTCTAAGCAGAAAAAAGATATATCTGTCAACAACATATATCTTAAAGTGTAACCTATGCAATTGATCATATAAGCTATACTTAGATTATAGCGAAATGTATTTTTATCTATTTCGCTTGGATAAATATAATATTCAACTTTTATACAACTAATTTTAGGTAAAATAAAGTGATATTTATTCATGTAATAATATAAAATATATTCCATGCCGTAAATAGTAATGTTTTAACTAAATGAACTTTTTAACTAAGTAAGATCTCGTCACGTCGCAATCACAGATGTAAAGTGAAATGTCACGTGGCATACAGAGGAGGAAACAGTTCCGGCTCTAACTATACGTGTTTGCACATACACACATACATATATATATATATATGTATTGATTGAATTGGAATTGGCAAAGTGAACTTAATTGATACACAAAATTTGCCCGAGATATTACCTTATGCTTTATGAGAAAAGACTTACTTTTTAACCTTTTTCTTTCTTCAAGAACTACATAAGTTGTTCTTGACCACGTTAAACAAGTATTTCTTCGTCCTTGCCACTCCAGCCACTAACATCCCTATCTAGAACATTATCTACGCGAATCTCAATCTGTGTCGCCTCATGTCAGTACAAGAGCAAATACAAGGACATGTATATTACTACGCACGTACGATTCTACGGTACATTCTCCATACGCACCCCATGCGGTGATCAGATTTAACGTTGGACATGTGAAATGTAACGCAGCATGTCCGCGTAGCCAGAGTTTCCATGTACGAGCGGGCGCTGCATTTGGCATATTCTGATGCTTATACGAGGAAAGAAAGTTTAAGAAAGGAAAGCAGCTTCGTAGTTTCCAAACGTTCCACCCCAACCCAACCCAACCTTCGAGAAGAAGGAGAAGAAGGAGAAGAAGAAGAAGAAGAGAGAGAGAGAGGGAGAGAGAGATTAACCTCTTCAGATAAAAAGGGTGAATCCGGGACAGCAAGAGAACAGCGAATAGCATCTCATCATCACCCCATAGGGAGGGCGGAAAAAGGGTTGTCTCCGATTTTTCATTATCTCTTTCGACATTGTACTTTTCGAGATCTCTGAAAATCCTCTGACCATCGAGGGTACGCCTGTTTCACTCTTCATTGCAAGAAATTGATGTCTTTGTGTTCATTTCTTGTTTATTCAGTGATTTCTGGGTTCGAATCTGTCTTTGCATTCCTTCGATTCGTTTGCAAAAGCAGCAGCTTTGGTGATCCTATTGATTGGTTGGCTTTACAGGTTGCCTCTCTGTTCTGTTATTAGGAGCTGCTTTTTGTTTTGTCCACTGGGTTTTGAATTTTCATTCTTGAACTTGAGGGTGCCCATGAAGGTTTGAAGCTTTTCTTTTTGTTCTTGATTGAGTTGGTACGGTCTCTCTTATTCTGCATGGTCGAGTCAATTATGGGATTAATCTTCTTTGTGGATGATAGAGGATGGGCCAGTAAATTCATAAGCATGGTTATCAAGGAATTAAGGGCCGTGTGTCGATATTGAAGAGTCTCCGAGTGCTTTTGGTCGAGATGGTGCTTAATGCAAATTTGAATAGTGGGCATCGCAGTGAGAGTTTTTGATGAATTGCAACTTTTAGGCAAGATGTGAGAAAGAAGAAGAAAATGAAGAATTTGAGGAATTGAGTGAGATCAAGGAGGAGGGGAATGAGGGACGAAATACAGTGACAGAATTGGAAAGCTTCGTGTATTCTCATGTATGGATGATCTTGCCAACTGAAGATAGATTTGTTCTTCGATTATGACAATTATCTCCTGACTAGACAATTACAACAACTATCTCAACCCACAGATTAATAACAGTAAAGTTGTAATTTGCTTGTCAACTGCTTCCTTAAGTTCCTATATGACGTACGACTTGCAGCTCAGTATTCCTTGCTTGGTCTTCCTCAAGCTTCTTCTTGAGCTTTTCACTGGGCTTGCCTTCACTTCAACTTCCATCTGATACTTCCATTTCTTGAACATGCACAAGCTCTTCGGTTCTTGGTTTGTGAGATTAGTTCCAGTTCAGCGCCAAAACCCATCAGCGCTTGGTCCAGCCTATTCACTGTTGTAATAAAACATACAGGTCTTTCCAGATTTGTGATATATTATGTCACTGTTATGAGATACCATAATGTAACTATAGCATTGTTTATGCTGTAAATGTCGTTATAAGTTTGTAACAAGCCAAAAGTGATAGAAGACTGAAGTTGAAACTGCATAGAGAATGAGTTGGACATGTCCAGGACTAGGAACAAATAAAATCGTTTGGGTGGAAGGTCTCTGACTTAGCCAAAGTTATTAGGATTTAGGATCGATGAAGGTGTCTATAACGGCGACATCCTAGAATATGCCAGCAATGCAAAATCTTGGATTGTCATATGGAATTTACTAGTTATGAACATTGTGTGTCATTAAAACTCCAAAATAGCGTGAATTTAAAGTTTATGCCGTCTTTATACTATATGTACCAGGAAAATCGACTTTTTTAATACGTAAATATGAGGACATACTAAATATCACGATATACGTATTTCATGGTTAAAGTATGAAAAAATTGGATCAACGGGACCTGTAGGATTGTATCGATCCTATGATTTTCCTGAGCTTAGGATCAGGACCATGTAAAGATCTTAGCAAATTAAGATCCTACTTAATATCCCGGGCATTTCTTAAATTTCGAATCATAGAATCCTACTTATGCAATTCCATCTTCTTCACTTTGGAAGATATGGCTTGGTTTCATTTTGCATGCATGATGGCTAGTATTGAAATGGGGAAGGCCTGATGCAATTTTTTATTGAAAAAAGGCTTCTAGTGCACTAGCAGTGATGGGGAACGGTCGTGTGCTTGATGGTTGGCATGTAATGACATGTGGCTTTGCTTTGCTTGTACTGGTGTCGGCATGAAAATTGTGCACATTGCCTGATCGGGTTGGGTTGAGGGTCATTCATACACAATCAGGAACACAAAGTTCCCTTGAGCTGTTTGGAGATTCAATTCTGCCTAATAATCATCCTCCGATGTTTCCCTCTTGAACTTTCTATTCCAGACGCTATAGCGGAAGTTCCTGAAACCTTCTTGTGGTTTGGCAGGACTAGAGGACCTATGGAAGGATCATGTGGGTGTTTGCATCCACAATGTGTAGTTGAATTGTGGGTGATAGTTAGCTTTATATGTATGCTGATTGTAGATGATTGTTTGGATGATGTTGGAGCTGTTTTACTCAATGTGAAGGATGTTCATCTTTGAGAAGCTGTCCTTGATTCTTTAAAATTAAATGATCAGCTTCTAGTTTAGGACAATCTATCCTTTCTACTTTGGGTTAGTGTGTCAAAGTTTGGTGGAGGATCAAGTTTCACAGAAGTAGCACGAGACCGAGGAAGCAATTATTAAAGTTGATCCAAAGGGGGCAACTTGATGGATTTCTAACTGCTGGTGACTGAATAGCTAGCAAGATCAGAAGTATTCATTCTGGTGCTTCAGAAAATTAATTCAATTTGTGAAGTGCTTGGGCTCTCATTTGATAGCTGAAAATAGCTTGTAATTTTTGAGGATATAAAGCCAAGAGGGGCTTCTGGTAAAGTTGTTTAAACCCTTGCAGGAAGAGTCGGTAGTTTGCAAGGCTTCAATTATTGTCGACATCTATATTTTACCCAAAGGTCTTTCTTGCATGTAGAAAAGAAAAAGAAAACACGAGAGAAAACAAGAAAATTGGGATTTTTTGCTATGCATTGGATTCTTGCATGTCATGTTTAAGTATTGGTTAGATTACTGAGTATTCATGCATACAACTGAGCTCAGAGATATTTTAGTCATTTCATCTAATGCGTGACACGTTGGTATTGCTTTTTAGACTTAATCTCAAGTGGTGCATTTGAGTCATTTTGGATACCCATCAGGGGTTTGGGACGTATTTGTTGATTTCTGGGCAGAAAAAAGAATGGGTGGAGAAACAGAGCGTGGTCACTTGGTATTCTATTAGTTATTTTATTTCTCTTAATTAATTTGTTTCTCTTTAGCAAGTCATCTTTATTCTGAAAAATTGTGAATTTGGGTCTTGAGACCTATTTTCCCCCAAACAAGATAATTTACATTGTAAATAAATTTAGGAAAAGAATAATTGAAAAGAAATACCTTTTGTCCGCGACCGACATGGATGTGGTGCATGACTTGGTTGGTTCATTGGAGCGACTTGTAGTGTGTTTTCCACCTGTGCTTAAGTCACGGTTCATTTTGTCTATATAGATAATCATTTTTACGGTATATTGTCTGTTTTTATTTTAGATTCTTAGTAACTGTAAGAGTTGTCTAGATATATCTAGTGCTCTCTATAACCTGGGATTGGACATCCACCCCTTAAAACATTTCACATGGCGGCATCCCACCTTCTTTTTCATGGTGGCATCCATGAACACTTACCAATTCTCATTCGCCAAACTCACAAAAGGCGCACCTACGTCCAACCAATTAGTCAGACCAGCATCAACCATTTTCCAATTTTTTTCCCCTTTATCATCCCATCTACCTTCAATTCTAGTCCATTAACATCTTGTGAAAGTCACTGCGCCTGTTTGCTTTTCTATGCCACATCACGTCTTTGGGATTCATCATTGAGCTGTTGCTAGCATCCGGGAAGTCACAATTCATCGTTTCGCTGCATCAGTTCTTGTCGAGTTGTTGTTGCTGTAGTGACAGAGTTGCTTCTGCTGTGATAGAGTTGCTGCTGCTGTTTTGAGTGTGTCCACTTTAGCCTCGTTGCTGTGACGAGCCATTGTGCTGTTGCCCGGATTGTCAAGCCTGCGTCACTGTTGCCAGATCGTCCTGAGAATTGCCTTCCACAACGCTTTCATTGACTCACTCTAGCCCAGCTGTGGTCCATCATTAAAATTCAGAGCGTGTGGCTTTGTCCTATCAAAGGTTCAGTGGGAAGTATCAGATTTTAGCTTCAATTAGGTGAAATCAGTGCCTGGAATGTCAATTTTGGTTTAAGCAAATAATTTAGTTGAATGATTAGAGGCTCCAGAGTAGATCCATGCGTATCAGGATATGTAATTGCCAATTGCATCATGAAATTGCTTTCAAGAATGGACGTTGTCAATTGATGAAGATGCTAGAGCATTGGGTTTTCTTATTCGTTTAGACTTATTTCATGGCATAATTTTAGTTAGGTTAATACATTTACACCATATTTTGTTTCAAGTAAAAGATAATTTACGGCACAAGTAAATTCCTTCTTTGCATGTTTAGCTTTTTATAGTTTGTTATAATTTTCCATTAATAAGTGTCTTAGTGCACATTTAAGACATCTAGGTTGCATATTTACATGTCATGAAAATCGAATATAAAAAATCGTGTCTTTCATGTTAGTCATTTGAGATTGCATTTTCATAAAACTCATTCAGGATTGCATTTGCATTTAGTGTAAATTGCATTTTTGTATCATAATTTGATTTCCTCTACTGCACAGCACACTTTAGAAAAATTATTTTGCACTAGTTATAAAATTTTTAAAAATTAAGCATTCTTCCCTTACCAAGATTACACATACAATATTTTAGATTACATTGCATAAGATTTTATTTCTATTTTTTCCTCATTATAGGCAAGTAATTTATCTAGGATATATTCTTGCATAGCATGTTACATTTACATATTTTTCTTGCCCTTTGATTCTATAGTCTACTTTAGGGTAGATACATTAACATTTTTGGACTTCCCATTTACCACTCAAGGAGATCCTGTCCTGGGGTGCAATAATGAGGTTATTATAAATTGTTGCTCAAGGCGGCTTGAGTTGGTTTTCTTTTTATCTTGTTTTATAATTGCCCAAGATGGTTTAGGTTGCGATTTTACTACTTCATTTGCTATGATTTGTTGATTGCATATTGCGTTTAATTGCATGATCTTGTAGCCGCATATTAGGAAATAAAGTGATTGCATGAAGAGTTTTCTTTAAAAGAGAAAAGGTACCAATTATTCGGTGTTAGTGTAATCGAGTATAACCAAGTCCTTGAATCCAATTCTCTGGTTTGTAGAGGTAGAGTGATCTCTTGTGTTTTACCGGGCTCGTAGCCGGTCTAGTAATAGGTTAGTGGTGATTCTAAGGTAAGAAAAAATTAATAAGAAAAACCAAGTTTCAATTGGCAGGACTTGGAAGAGTTTGTGCGAAGCATAAGCGCCACCTTGCAAGTGGATTATTTGTGTCCATCTAGCAATCTGTTAGTTCTCATGGGGTTCACCTCGAGAGGGTTGCGACAATTATGAAAGGACTTCTTGAAAGTTAATTGAGTAAGTGAGATTATTCTGAGTTTTGCAGGCAAATATCTTTGTGGTTACAGGTTAGTGCTGAGTATTCTGGTATGGGACAAAGGGTTCCTTTTCGCAGCATGTGTTTAGTTCCGAGAGTAGTTTGGGATTGATCCCTTCTCCTCATGCTTTTAAGTGGTACCATTTGTGCATTCTACTCAAGTCGTTTATTGTTAGAGTGGATTGCTGTTTTGGGGTCAGCTGATTGTATTCGGTTCTTGTTATTTCAGCTGGTTTGGGTACTTGTGTGGGGGATGTTTCGTTAATCAGGTACAGCAATAATGCTGATGCTTATCAGATAAATGCTTGTAATTATCAAAAAGGGGTGTATAGCATTATATACGAGGCATTACAGTAGAGCGGTTTCATGCTGATGCTAAAACTAATTATTTGATGTTTAACATTGTTAATAGCTCTAATCAGAAAGAAAAGTTTATTTCTTTCTCCTTTTATTTATTTGATGTATATTTGTAGAAAATTAAACATGGCGATGAACATCCGAAGCCCATGTTTCCTGTATCCATAGGAATTTCCTCTCCTAATTTCTGTAAGATGTTTAATGCCGTTGAAAACTATACTTGATTTTGAATGCAGTTCTCATCTGCTTTTACCTAGGGCACGTAGAATTTGTTTGGGATATTCTTTTGAGGAACCTTGGCATCTAATTAACGATTGATTCATGGTTCACAAAAATAAAAATTGTAATTGAGACTTGCTTATCAACTTCAGAATAATGTCGGTAGGTTATTCATTTTCGGTTTGGGTCATTTGGAGGATTCATCGATCTGGTCCTACATTCTTGCAATCAGTAAGTATTAAGCTGGGCATGTCATCTGCAATTGTGCAGCCATAGTCATCATGTACCTTGTCAGTCCTACTTTTTTTTTTTTTGGTCGAACCTTGTCAGTTATTTAAAGAAGGGGCCTAAAGCATTGTGATATAAGTACTTTGATCCGTTTATTGATATCTATAAATTGTCCTTTCACAGGGATTCTTGACAAGATCAGATTTGTTATGTCTAATTCTGGACCACCAAGTACCAGAAATTTGGCATACTCTGGAAAGCATGTTTTCCTGCCTCCAAAAAGCCCATTTCCCGGCCTTTCTCCTTCATATGTTGATTATATTCCTAACCATCCAATTGGATCTAAATCAGTGCAAAGGCCCGGAGAGGGGTATAGTCACCACCAACGAACGTCATCTGAGAGTTTTCTCATGGAGGATCAACCCTCATGGCTTGATGATTTACTTGATGAGCCTGAAACTCCTGTACGTAGGGGAGGCCATAGACGCTCATCAAGCGACTCTTTTGCATACATAGATGTAGCTAACTTTTCTGACCTAGACTATGCAGCTCATGATGAGCACAAGCACAGAAACATGTTTTCAGTACCCTATTGGGGATCACAAGAAATGAATCGTCAAAGAGGTGGTCAGCATACATATTTTGGTGCTGAGCAAAACCACGCGAAGCAGAAGAATAGGGTGTGGGAGTCATCTCGCAATGTTGCAACTCCCCCTGGTGGCCCACCTTCGGCTGGAGATGATGTTGCTACTCAAAATTCTGCACCAATATGTGTATCCCAAGAAGTGGAGAAGGATCCCTCCATAGTAAATGGAATGCAAGACCAAGTTGAATCTGTAATTGATTTAAAGGCTTCCTCTGAAAGGAAAGATGCTTCTCGTGCAAAGCCATCTTCAACTGAGACAGATACTAAACGTGCAAAGCAGTATGTGCTCTGTGTCCCTTTCTCATTAATGTGTACACATGATTAGAGATTTTACATTGTGTGGGATATGCTACGGTGGTTTTGTTTTATAAAGCCCAATTTAAAGTTTTGGGACAGACAAGTGTCCTGACTAATTGAAAGAGAATCCAGAGGGTGTATTGTCGTCGAAGGGTTCAAGCAATTATACCACTAGATAGTCATTAATAAACTTGGCAACATCTTTATGCCAGTGCACAGTAAACAAGGAATGACTAATTGATTGCTAAAAATATTGTGTTTGGGTGTGGCCGGTTATAGGCCATAGTGAATTAAAATAATTTCTATTCTTTTATGCCGTGCACAGTAAACGGAATGATAATTATTACTAAAAATACTGCAATTTTGCAGATGCATGCTGTGGCCAGGTAATCATAGGCCATAGATATGACAATTAAATAATAATTTCTATTCTTTCATCCAGTGGATTCAAATGGTTGCTTTTGTTTTTCTAGCTGAAATTTCTCTCGTGTTAGGCACCTCTTTTATTCTTTAAGCATTCACCTGTTTTATTCTTTTCTGTTTTTGATAATCTGACATTACAATCTATTCATATTTGATGTTTCATGCCCAAACTTGGAGCCATGAGAATTATTCAAGACTAAGGACAACAATTGATTATAAAAGAAACTGGGGCCATTAGGATTTGATAATGGCCCTGATATGTGTAATTTTTTATAACATAATTGGACCTAGGAGAGAAAATGACTTGAGCTTGGTAGTGGACTTAAAAGGATCTGTATAATCTTGGGAATAGGTGGTTATTGGGTTTTACTTGGTGATTATTATTCAGAATAATCTGCGCATTATTTGAGACTTATTAGTGTCATATAAATAATTTTTTGTTTATGAACTTTGACATTATAATTATGTAAATATTCAGAAGTTCCAAAGTCCATGCTGTGATTGGTAAATCTTGTTTAGACTGCCATACCAGCTGTATTTCGATTGGCATATGCTAGGAAATCTAGGCAGTTCCATGTGGTATTGTTTTAGGTTGACTTTGTCTTCATATATGCTGCAATTGTCACTCAATGTCTGACCAGGTTTCTCAAGACTCAGATGTAGCAAAGAGAGTGGTAGTGATTTTTTAGGCGACTCGAGTTGGGGTCTAACTGGCAACTTTCATGACCACTGCAGGCAATTCGCACAGCGTTCACGGGTCCGGAAACTTCAGTACATATCTGAGTTGGAAAGAAATGTGCAAGCTTTGCAGGCAAGAATGACTGAAATGCTGATGTGCCTTATGATCTCATGAATTTTTTTTTTGGGGGTCATAGATCTCATGATTAAATTCGTGCTGAAAAGTTGCTCACATTCTATCTCTGATGAGTTTTATGTTTTAATCTTATGTGCTCCGGTATGCAGGTAGAAGGTTCTGAGGTTTCCGCGGAGATTGAATTTCTCAACCAGCAACACCTTATCTTGAACATGGAGAATAATGCCCTAAAAAAACGGTTGGAAAGTTTAGCTCAAGAGCAGTTGATTAAATACTGTAAGTTTCTCTCATCAAAGAAGACTGAACAACCTGAACTTTTTGGTTGTTGAAAATTTTCTTTTTATGTGGTTTCTGTTACTTCTGCTGTCAGAAAATCTTTACTTTGAAGTTGGAGGTGGCTTTTGATTTTTTATGACAACTCGAGTAAACTTTTCACTTGCATCAGTGCTTTGTGTTTATGTTGATTTGCTCGGTTCTTCTTATCTATTGCATGGGTATAGGAGCTTACCATTCCCTGTTTGCAACATAATGTATGTGAGAGTCTGGGCTAGGGATGCTGTGACAGCCTATGGCTTTATTTTGAGAGTGTCGTAAATGGATCACGAATAGTTGCCTATTGGTATTGTATGTAAAAACTGTTCTGAGGGTTAAATCACTTGGGTTTGCGATTTGCACCATGTCATGGTGAGTTATCTGTGATTTAAATGCTTGTTTTTCTTTTTTTTCAATTACGGTCCGAAGTGAACATTCTATTTGGAATGTGCAGTTGAGCATGAAGTTTTAGAGCGGGAAATAGGAAGATTGAGGGCTATGTACCAGCAACAGAAGAATCAACAGCAGCAGCAACAACCATCTTCTGGCAATCAACGCAGCAGCAGCAGCAGCAAAGGCCTTGATGCCCAGTTTGCTAACCTCTCGTTGAAACACAAGGATGCTACTTCCAGGCGTGACACTACGAGTGGCCCTCTTCGTACTTAGTTGCATGGCCTTGATGGCCAGTTTGCAAACCTCTCGTTGAAACACAAGGATGCTACTTCCAGGCATGACACTACGAGTGGCCCTCTTCGTACTTAGTTGCATGGCCTTGATGGCCAGTTTGCAAACCTCTCGTTGAAACACAAGGATGCTACTTCCAGGCATGACACTAAGAGTGGCCCTCTTCGTACTTAGTTGCATGCTGCAACACCTATGGGCGATGGTGCCATCTTTTGTTGGAGCCTCTGTCCCTTGTCTTTGCTCGTTTGCCTGTTTCATTTCTTCTCTGTCTTGCTCTTCCTTCGTCATAATTGATATCTGGTGCGCCTGGTTATCACTGCCGATAGTCACGTTACCGGCATGTGATTTACCTGAGGTGGGTCTCGCCCTTCTTGTGCGTTGCTGCTCACTTCTTAGAATCTATTTCCCAAATGGTTTTTAGCCACAGAGTAGTCCGACCACCCAATACTTGAGGCATTGGTAAAGTCTTTCATGTTTTTTCTAGCCTCTCCAGTGCTGGGCTGGGCATTAGTTTGGAATGCTTTGCGAGAAGAAGATTGCCATTTGAATGTATTAGTTGTTGTTATTGCCCAAACCGGTTCGGCTCTATTGTACAAAATCTGATGGTGCTTGATGAGCTTGTCTTTGATGATTTCTTAGTGATTGTTGAGAGAAACCATTGGAACTTTATGTAAGTTTGCGACGATGATGTGGCCAATGAATGCTTGAGGAGGCAACTAGTACATGCCGTAAACTTTTGCCACCACTTTCTCCGTCGATTGATATCAGGATGAACATGTTATAAACATTCCCACTAGCTAACGTGCTACCAAGTATGGGATTACTCCCTTTTCGTCTTTCAATTTTTTTTCCGGTAGTCCTCAAAAGCATCGCATGGTTCAACAGCTGTTTCTGAAGGAATTTCGTCAGACATGACATCTTAGCGAGAAGCAAACATTCTGGTGAAAATAGCTTGGTATAGCAACTTTCGAAGGTATATGGGATATCATTTCCTCTTATATCATAGCTAGGAAATTGCTTCAAGGTAATAAAAATAGCAAGTGCATCTTTTGTGATAAGTGAGCTTTGATCAAACTGCTTTCAATTACAATACATCAAGAACCAAAAAGGTTGAAACTGTGGTAAATGTTTCTGAAGCCAACCTAAGGGCCCATACACACCTGTGGGTGTGGGAAGCAAAATTAGCATTACACCCGACTTATTTAGCTCTCTACAAACGCTTTGCCAAAAGCAATTGCTTGATACCAGTGACTAACACGACTCCGACTGAGACAGTCGCTCTCGAACCACATCGCTTCCCGTCCACGACTACTTACCATGCAAAGTCCACCATTAGGAGTGCTTTAATTCGATCTATTTCCGAATAGCTGATGATATATACCGAATTTGGACATCCATTTCAAAAGCAATTCCTATTTTTATAAAGATGAACCGACTACTGAATTTAATGTTTAAAATCAAAGCAAATAAAGCAAAAGTAAGAACAACAAAGGTATCAACTTCCCAACGCAGACCCTCTATACTATCTGGCATCTACCTGCAGTTGAGGTAGGATTGAAAGCCGCATCAATGCTGATTATAGCTGTTCCTAACTTCCTACATACATGTTTCTACAGGGCAATCCATTGCAGAAAGATGCTTCGCTCGGAACGCCTCTCCAGCGTGCAGGGGCTACTATATGCACTTCAATTGCCGCTGCACTACACTGTCCCGTATTTCCTGTTGTAGCTTATCAGACATCTTGTTTATTTATAAAAATAAATGTTCTGGAGCAACACATTCTTATACAGTGGAGTGGAGTTCATAAGAAACAGGACAGAAGGATTATCTGAATGCCAGAATGAAACCGGTAAAAATAGTTTAAGGAAAAATAATGCACATATTCTACTTCATAGCCTCCATGAGGAACAGAAGGGCTAACTCTGAAGGCAAAAGGACTAGTAGAAATATGGTACAAGTATTTTGACTGAACACCCCCACATACACACAAAAGCACATGCGCATGTGTGCACGCGCTTTGACTTTATGTATAAGAATGGATTCATCAAGACCATCACCACCAAAATCAAGGGGTTTTCAACAGTAAGGTAGAATTGCAGTGCCATTTCGACACATAATTGACATCACTTCCAAGGGGCTGATTATATTGTCTAATATCCTCATACAAGCCAGCATTTGATACCCCAGAAATGTGATGGTTGACAACGACATCCAAAAAAATTGGCCAGCATTGACGTCCCAGAAATGAAAAGAGGTATTTTCTCAGAAAGAACATGCCAATCTATCAACAAAGCCGAAGTTTTGGAGGTGATGACATGAATCCCAAAGAGTCACGACCTGCAACACCATTGAAAGAGAAAACAAGATGAATACTCTCATTCATGTTCCACGGTCAACTAATTAAATAGGCAGTTGTCACTACTAGTTTAGCACATTCACAGCAAGAAATGTATTGAATTTGAGTCCGTATGACAACCAAGATTAGTATTTTTATTTCGGCAATTTACAATGAAGTATTGTCGTCTTTGGTACTCATAATTTAGTATTATGTATTTGAGAGAAAAAGGTGGCCATACCAGATAAGGCATAAATATGCATATTAGAAATGCAAGAGCTTGTGATTTGACTTCATGTCTGCCGGCGCCTTTTGGCATTGTCCTCATTGAAGAATTCCCAGTTTCTATGGTCAAGGGAACTAAAGTCATCAAGGTCCGCAATGGCAAGCAAGTACTGAGTAAGCTTGACAAGTTCTTGATCACTGTCTCTGCTTGAATGAGCCTTTCTGAATGGTCTGATAATCAACCCATTTTGAGGGTTCATAACAAAATTTCTTCGAAGGTCATCAAACATTATGGTATTCTTTGCACTGTAATACTGACAAGTCAAGAGACTGTTGTAAGGACTCTTTGCGAGAATGTAATAGTTCTGTATCTACTGACTTTTGAGATGATGTCTAATGTTTCTCATTTGTAAGATACAAAATTAGAGGTATGCGCAAAGTCAGTAACAATTATGATATTTAGAACCAAATAAAACTTCTATATATGTGAAAGTACAACACAACATAATGCCATAATAAAAGGTCATGGCAGAGGCATACTTTTCTTGAGTACATAATGCCAAATGCTAGGTGAATAGAGCACATAATGCCAAATGCTACCTGATTCATGGACAGATGCATGTGCCACGAAAGAGCACCTATATGAGACAAGGCAGAGAGGTCATCGCACTGATTTTCTAGGCTAAGAATTACGTTTATCGCATGGATACCGCCACATTGTCCCCATATGAAGTGAACTGATACCTATGTCATGACAGTCTCAACCATGAAGAAAACCAATTGATTCCCAGGAGTATGACGAAGTGCAGCACTTACATTCAAGAATCATTTGCATGTTAAGTTTAGAGTGAAAGAATCTCAAACAGATCGGTTTAAGCCACGAATTTGTTTTAGGCTATTATCAACAAATGTGTGCATAAAACGTTCATAGAACAAATTCTATTGTGTATGTTATTCTCGAGATAACCACATTTATGTTAGACGAATACACATGTGTGCCTATATATGTACATCCACATCTGGTAAAAACAAAAAACTCCTGCGAGAGGAGACGTATGAAGCAATTTCATTGGGTTACCAAGAACATCTGCCAATATAATATATAAAAGCTATACCTCTGGGAGTTGAGCCCATATTAGGCCAAGTGGCTTGCAATCAAAGATTCCATGTGAATCTGATTGTACTGTAATCATTGCCATGCGGTCTAAAAGTGCTGTAACTTTGTAATTAGGATTGTCAAGTACCCCTAGCTGTCCCATCTTCAGCTCAACCCACCTCATGCTACAGAAAGAAAATAGAAGTATTAGTCTATTAGAAACAAGGTATCCAACTGTTAGTTTCCTACTAAAAGTTTGCTATTCCATCTCATGATATTTCTGAAACGAATTTCTCATAGCACCTTTGGAGAAGGGGCATTTCAATTTGCATAACCTTAAAGATTACGAAAAATTACAAAGGAACCCCCAGTAGGTGGAGCTTGGACAAATTACACATCCTATACCTCTATGATGAAAAAACAGACCTGTCCCCACACAAAGATGCTTAGTTATCTCTTCATTTTTTTAGTATTTAAGGAAAATGCAGTCCGGTTGCCTCAGAAAGTGCTTGAAATGAGTGCAATTGGTTGTAAATTAAGTCTATATGCAACAGAACAGAATAAGTAGAGTGACAGAACCTGTGCTAGGGAGTGAAAGGTATAACTTTGCTTTTCAGAAACAGAGTAGAGATGCAATTTAACCAAAACAGAAGGGGTTCGCACAATTTACTCTAGATAATAAACCAGCAACACAGAAAAATAATCTTAAGACGTGGAAAGGACATTCAAAACGGAAAAGTCGTTCATACTTTTACCATGAAACCAAGATCAAATAAAGAAACAAGATTATCCATACCTGGTTGCAGACCATATAATGATATCGTACTCTGCGTAAGCAGCTGTGAGAAACTCATGAAGATCTGCATGTACGGGTTTACAGTTAGCTAGATAGCAAAGATCACAATTTGTAAGTGTGTAAAATGCAGACTACTCACAGGGTCTCATCAGTTGAAGAGGATTTTCTGCTGTGGACCGATGATCAAAAAGAGTATAATCAATATCCAAAACAAGCAGTTTCTTTCCTTGACGACAAGGGTTTCGAAGTTCGATCTGCATGATATGACAAATCAATTAATCAGCACACTTCTACCAAAAATATAAAATAAAATAATCAGCACACCAACAATGTGCAGCAGAAAGCTACTTTTTTTAGAGCAATTTGAATATCCATGTTACACTTTTGGTAACAATAAGCTGCCTTGCCATTGAGTTTCAACCCTAAAATTCAAAGGAATATAGAACGGTTATAAATCTATAGGTGAGTTATCCTCGCTCCTTTCAAAATGGAGATCAGAAGTATCATACATCAGTCTTCACATACAGAACCTCGTCTTTATAACACTGGCTCTGGATTTAACTCAGTAAACACACCACACATTTCTTGTATTAGTTCTCTTCAGAAAATAAGCGATGAATTTCAATTAACTAATATCATTTCCTCTCAGACAACAATTTAGACAAAAAATGATCCAATGATTATCCTAATAGTGTCTCGAAAACCATGTCTCATGTCTCTTCAAGGAAACTGTTTGTTCTTCCATCCGAAAAGATAACACAAGCTTAATCACCAGCTAAGGAATAAGGAGAGATAACTTAAACAACTTCTGTGAAACTGAAATGTTTATGCCTCAGACAAAAAAGGAAATGCATCGAAGAGATTCTTTCAGAGAAGAAGAAATCTCGACTCCATCATATGCCTAACGACAAATGACACTGACTCGCAACAGACAGGTCTTCTTACATAGTTCAAATATCATGGTTAAAAGGGGGAAAACTGACCTTGTACTGATCTACCCGTCTTCTCAGCTTCCGCTTATTGACTTCTTTATCTTTGATGTCAACAACATCATCTTGTCCAAGCTCAAAATCATCGATTATTTCAGGAGAGTCCACTTCATCCATGATAAGATCATCTTCAACAGTCCTGCAAACAGAAACAAATAGCCATCCAGCAGTGAGTCAAATGATAAAATCGAATTTGCTACATAAAGACCTGTCTATGTACTGTGAAAC